CCCATGAGACAGATTGGACATGGCTGGAGTAGAATTCCTCCTTGTTCTCAGTTGCTGCATTGAGCGTTGGCACATATGCTCTGAATACTGCGACATACTGGTTCCAAACAAGGCTGAATCAGAATGTCATGAGGTGTTTGTTTATTCCTCGGGGGGCGGGGGGGGCGGTGGTGGTCTTTGAGTTGGTCGACAAATTTGTTTTTGATGATGAAGCCAACTCCATGAATCCGACGCTCTTCATTGACCTTGCCTTTCCAAAAACAAGTGTAGCCACCACCTCTCTCTCTGAGCTGCCATTCCCCTGCCCACCAGGTTTCACTCAGGGTGACATTGTCAACGTCATTGTACCCGAGTTCCTGAGCAACTGTGGCAGTGCGGCATTCCAGTCTATCACCAGTGGGACTGTCCATTAGGGTCCTGTCGTTCCAGGTCTCAAACTTCATCCTGAGGGTGTGGAAGGTGCCTGTTCTTTTAATGTGGGGAAACCATGGCACACAGGTTACCACATGGGCTTAGCAAGTCAAGGTCTTGGTGAAGTGGCAAGAGGGGTCCAAGAAAACTGGAGATCAGGCACTGCTGTTTGCTCTCAGATTTCCTGTGTTGGAGTACAGACAAAGAATTTGGCACTGGGCAGCACCTCCTGCTGGGTTAGTGCAAGGTCCAAGGTGAGGAGAGGCGGAGGAATGGGAGAGAACAATGATTGCTGCCATTGTGCTGGTCAATCTCAGTTTTCTCATGGTGAAAACACTGGGCTGGAGGTGCTGGCTTGTAAGATCACTGGGTTGGAGGTGGGGGGAAGTTTATATATAAAAAAAACACAACTGGGTTGGGGGGGTTAATAAAATCACTGAACTGGTGGTTAAGCGTGTCAATTGGTTAAGTGTGACACAAAGCTGGCAGACCTTGCATCTTCCTTGAGTTGCTAAATCAACATCTCTGTGTCATTTAGATATTACTGTTCACAAGCGTTTAATAGAATTAACAGCTTATTATAAAGATTATAACAATTGAAACTCAAACTCAAATGCTCCTAAATTGGATTTCAGACTCTTCACCTATATATTATGACACAAACTGTGTGGTAAAGCAAAGTTGAAACTACGGCTTATCCAGATAAAACATGCCTGTGGCTTTTGTAAGCAGTTCAGAGTGAGCTTTCTGGATTGGCCTGACAATTATTCAAATTAGTGAGATACAGAATTCTTATTTTGATCATCTGTAGCAAGTGCAAATATTCTTGTCCATGAAGCAGAAGACATTGGGTACGTAATACTTTTCAATAATCATTGAAGTACATAAAATGGAAGGTTTTTTTAAATTCTGCTGAGTAGACTGGAGCCCCTAGTCTATTACAGTATTTTAACTTTAAAATACAGGTTACGAAATAGTTAAATTATCTGGTCCACGTCATAGCATAGTTGAAATTTTATAGCACAGAAAACGCTGATCAACACATCACTTCTTTAATTGTGTCAGTGTCACAGACAAACATTTTTCATTAGGAATGCGATAATGATGAGAGGTAATCTCGATTTCTACAATGTTGATTGAATAGATATTGGCCGGGACACACGGGATAACTTGCCGATCTTCTTTGAAAGATTGTTTTTCGTTCTTTTATTTCCTCTTGAATAAACGGGTGAGTCATCAGATTATTGTTTTACCCCAAAGATAGCACCCTTGATAGCATTGTAGTGATTGTGAGCCTTAGTTTTCATTCAATCAGCAGGGTGGTATACAGGTGGGAGGGAGTTGTACTGGGAGTCCTTAATATTGACGCCGGATCCCATGAAGCTTTATAGCTTCAGGTTAAACATGGGCAAGGAAACCTCCTGCTGATTACCACGTACTGTCCTACCTCAGCTGACCAGTACTCCTCTATGTGGTGCAACAGTTGGAGGAAGCTCTGAGGGTGACAAGAATGCAAAATGTACTCTAGACGGGGGATTTCAAAGTCCAAAGTCCACCACCTGGAATGGCTTTGTAGCAGCCTAACTGATTGAGCTGGTCGGATGCAGAAGGACACTGTTTTTAAATTGGGTCAATGTCAGATGGTGAATGAAACAACAAGAGAAACCTCATCCTTACCAATCTGCTGCAGACGCAAATGTCTATGACTGTATCGGTGAGAGTGTCTACCACAGAATTCTTGTGGAAATGATGCCTTGCCTTCAGATTGAGAATACCCTCCATCACGTTGTACAGCACTATCACTGTGCTAAATGGGACAGACTTTGGTCAGATCTAGCAGCTAAAGACTTGGCATCCAGGAGAAGGCACTGTGTGCCATCAACAGCAGCAGAATTGTGCTCCAGCATAAGCTTCAACCTCATCATCTAGCATATCTCCCACTCAACCATTACTATCACAAAAGAGAATCAATCCTGGTTCAATGGAGGGTTCACGAGGACATGCCAGGAGCAGCACCAGGCATAGCTGAAAATGAAATGTCAATCTGTTGAAACTTTTGGGTAGCACGGTGGCTCAGTGGTTAGCACTGCTGCCTCATAGCGCCAGAGACCCGAGTTCAGTTCCATCTGCTGGCGACTGTCTGTGTGGAGTTTGCGTATTCTCCATGTCTGCGTGGGTTTCTGCTGGGAGCTCTGGTTTCCTCCCACAGTCCAAAGATGTGCAGGTTAGGTGGATTGGCCACGCTAAATTGCCCATAGTGTCCAGGGATGCATAAAGTAGGTGGATTAGACATGGGAAATGCAGGGTTCCAGGGAATGAGGTTGGGGGTTGGGGGGTTGGAGATTTGGGTGGGATGTTCTTTGGAGGGACAATGTGACCTATTTCTACATAGAATCACTACAATGTTTTATGTAACAAGCACGACTACTAGCATGTCTAGCCGGAAATGATAGTCAGAAATGAGCGCTGCCACAACCAACAGAGCTGATCTCAGCTCTACAGGCCTGCTATGTCCAGTTGTGAATGGTGGTGGACAATTGAACTACTCATTAAGGATAGGGATAGTTGTGGAGCCTCCTCCAATGATGGAGGAACCCAAAACATCAGTGTGGAAATGATAAGGCTGAAGCATTTATAACAATCTTCAACCAGAAGTGCCAAGTGGATGATCCATCTCGACCTCTTCCAGTGGTCCACAGCATCACAAATACCAGTCTTCAGACAATTCTATTCACTCCAAGTGATGTCAAGAAGCATTTGGAGGTACTGGATACTGCAAAGGCTATGGGCCCTGACAACATTCCAGTAATAGTACCACTGACTTACTTTCCAGAACTTGCTGATTCTCTAGCCAAGTGATTAATTGATTGATTATACTTTGGTACATGTGACAAAAAAAAATGAAAAGCTTTGTTTATGAGCAGTACAGGCAGATCATAGTAAACAAGGATGTGCAGATCAAAAAAACTTAGAGGCATACAGGTTACAGTGCACTTTCCATCTGCCTGATGGAAGAGGTTGTAGGAGATCATTATTGGGGTATGATGGGTCTCTGATGATGTTGGCAGCCTTTCCATGGTAGCAAATTGTATAAATGGTGTGCATGGATGGAATGTTGGCTTCGTGACATTCCGGGCTGTGCATACCACCTTCTATAGCTTCTTATGGTCCTGGGCAGAGCAGTTGTCATACCAGGTCGTTATGCACCAGGACAGTATGCTTTCAATGGTCATCTGTAGAAGGTGGTGAGGGTCCTTATGGACAGGCCAAAATTTCCTGAAACGCCTGAGGAAGAACAGGCGGTGTTGTGCCGTCTTGACTGTCGTATCTACATGGGAAGTCCAGAACAGGTTATCGGTTATCATCACTCGAAGGTACTTGACTGTCTCTAACCTCTCAACCTCAGTTCTACCGACATAGTTAGGGGCTCCTCCTTTCTTTCTGAAGTTGATGTTCTCCTCCTTTCTTTCTGAAGTTGATGATCAGTTCTTTAGTTTTGGCAATGTTGAGAGAGAAATTGTTTTCATTGCACCATGTCACCAAGCCCTCTATCACCCTTCTATATTTTGACTCATCATTGTTAGATTCCTTCCAACTATGGTGGTGTCATCAGTGAACTTTTGGATGGCGTTCATTCAGAATTTCATAACACAGTCGTGTGTGTACGGGGAGTACAGTAGGGGGCTGATGACACACCTTTGGGGGTCTCCAGTGTTGAGTGTTATTGTGGAGTAGGTGCAGTTACCTATCTTCACTGATTGCAGTCTGTGGGTCAGAAATCTGAGGATCCAGTTGCAGAGGACAGAGCCAAGACCAAGGTCATGGAGTTTTGAGATCAGTCTGGAAGGGACAATGGTGTTGAAGACGGACCTATAGTCAATGAGCAGGAGTCTGACGTAGGTGCCTTTGTTGTTCTGATGTTCCAGAGATGAGTGCAGGGATAGGGATCTGGCATCCACTGTGGTCCTGCTACATCATAGGCAAATTGTAGGGGATCAAGGCAGGCTGGGAGACTGGAGTTGATGTGGACCATGACCAGTCTCTGGAAGCACTTCACGATTTTTGAGGTCAGAGCCACTGAGCGATAGTCATTAAGACACTTTGCAAGTGCTTTCTCAGGTAGGGGGATGATGGTGGTGTTCTTGAAGCAGGTGAGGACTTTGGCTTGTAGGAGGGAGGGTTTGAAGATGTCGGTGAATACCGCCGCCAGTTGGCCTGCATGGGATCTGAGTGCTCAGCCAGGGACACCAGCTGGGCCTGTTGCTTTCCTTGAGTTTACTCCCAGGAAGACCAATTTAACATCCACAGTGGTGATGGAGGGAATAGGAGTGTCTGGCGCTCTCAGGGGCAGGCATCATTGCACCACTGGAATTCTGCTTGAACTGAGCATAGAAAGTATTGAGAGTGTCAGGGAGGGACGTGTCTTTGTCCACTATCTTGCTCTGCTTCATTTTGTATCCCATAATGTTGTTTAGGCCTTGTCACAAGTGGTGGGAGTCTGTTTGGTAGTTTTGGGCCTCTAACTTGGTCCGGTACTGCCTCTTGGCATCCCTGATAGCTTTGCGGAGGTCATATCTGGACTTCTTGTATTGGTCTGGGTCACCCAAATTGAATGCTATACATCTGGTCTTCAGTAGGGAGAGGATTTCCTGGTTCATCCTAGGTTTATGGTTGGGGAACACTCAGATTGACTTTTTCGTGCGCAGTTCTTCAAGGATTTGATGATGAAGTCCACGACAGTGGTGACGTACTCATCTAGGTTTTCTGCTGAATAGTTGAACGTGGTCCAGTCCACAGATTACAAACAGTCCTGGAGACAGTCTTCCACAGCCTTGGACCAGCATCGTACTTCCTTTTGTAAAGGAACCTCCTGTTTGACCTCCTGCTTGTAAGCTAGGAGGAGGAACAAAGCGCTGTGATCTGTTTATTCCGAAGTGCAAGCGGGGGATGGAGCAGTAGGCATCTTTGATGGTTGTGATCCAGAATGTTCGGTTCTCTGTTGGGGCAGGAGATGAGTTGATGGCACTTTGGCAGCACCATCGAGGTTGGATTGTTCTTCCAGCACAGTTACAATACTGGCATCTGCCCGAAATGTGAAAAATTGTCAAGGTAGGTCCTGTATACACAAAATCGCAGCCAGCCAATTACCACCTCAGTCTATCCCTGATCATCACGTAAGAGACAGAAAGTTTCATCAACAGTGGTATCAAGCAGCACCTGCTTGCTGTAACCTGCTCAGTAATGCCCAGTTTAGTCCTAGTTCTGTGGATATTATCAACAAACAGATACAAATATCTTTGACATGGATATAAGGTTTAGCATGTACCTCCATTTCAATTGATCACGATATTAAAACACAACACATCCAAATAGATTTGTACTTTACACATTGATGTATCTTTTCTTCCATCTCATTCTTCATTTTCTAAAAGACCATGGACAAATCTAGCCATAAAATGATGCAAGAGGAACAATGGGTTCAATTTAATTTAGAAGACAGAATTAAACGAAGACCCAGAGCAGCAGATTGGGAAAGAGACAAAATATTTGATTTGATTTATTAATTGTCACAATTTTTTTGTTACAAAATACAGTGAAAAGTGTTATATAGTGTCAGCACTCTCCAGTACCATCTTAAAACACAGAAAAATAAATCAAAACATACAGTCCTTCTTGTTAAGTGCTGTAGGATTGAGCAAATATCCCCAATGTTTAGAGTACTTGACAAAATCCTGCAGTTTCCTATAAATTAAAGTACTGGACAAAACTGGACTTTCAAAACTTTTAAAAGAGAAGGGGATGGCTGGACTGAGTTTTGTGGGAAATACACAACACAATTAGCAGAACGGAAATTGCTGTCTAGGACAATTGTTCAGCATGGAATCTTAATTTACACCTCCTCTGTAACAGGACAATCGAACAAAATCAATAGACCATAGGCCAGAGATAGTAGGAACTGCAGATACTGGAGAATCTGAGACAACAAGGTGTAGAGCTGGATGAATACAGCAGGCCAAGCAGCATCAGAGAAGCAGGAAAGCTGACGTTTCGGGCCTAGACCCTTCTTCAGAAATGGGGGAGGGGAAGGGGATTCTGAAATAAATAGGGAGAGAGAGGGAGGCGGATAGAGGATGGATAGAGGAGAAGATAGGTGGAGATGAGACAGACAGGTCAAAGAGGCGGAGATGGAGCCAGTAAAGGTGAGTGTAGGTGGGGAGTTATGGAGGGGATAGGTCAGTCCAGGGAGGACGAACAGGTCGAAGGGGCGGGATGAGGCTAGTAGGTAGGAGATGGGGGTGGGACGAGGGGATGGGGCGAGGAAGGACAGGTTAGGGAGGCGGGGACAAGCTGGGCTGGTTTTGGGATGCGGTTGGGGGAGGGCAGATTTTGAAGCTTGTGAAGTCCACATTGATACCATTGGGCTGCAGGGTTCCCAAGCGAAATATGAGGTGCTGTTCCTGCAAACTTCGGATGACATCGTTGTGGTGCTGCAGGAGGCCCAGATTGGACATGTCGTCTAAGGATTGGGAGGGGGAATTGAAAAGGTTCATGACTGGGAGGTGCAGTTGTTTGTTGCGAACTGAGCGTAGGTGTTCTGCAAAGCAGTCCCCAAGCCTCCGCTTGGTTTCCCCAATGTAGAGGAGGCCACATCGGGAACAGCGGATTCAGTATACCACATTAGCAGATGTGCAGGTGAACATCTGTTTGATGTGGAAGGTCTTCTTGGCACCTGGGATGGGGGTGAGGGGGGAGGTGTAGGGGCAGGTGTAGCACTTCCTGTGGTTGCGGGGAAAAGTCCGGGTGTGGTGGGGCTGGAGGGGAATGTGGAGCGGACAAGGGAGTCACAGAGAGAGTGATCCCTCTGGAAAGCAGATAAGGGTGGGGAGGGAAAAATGTCTTTGGTGGTGGGGTCAGATTGCAGATGGCGGAAGTGTCGGAGGATGATGCGTTGGATCCGGAGGTTGGTGGGGTGATACGTGAGGACGAGGGGGATTCTGTTTTGGTTGTTATTGCGGGAAATGCGGGAGACGCGGTCGAGAGAGTTCTCCACCACTGGGGGGCGGGGGGGGAGGGGGGGGGGGAGTTGCGGTCCTTGAAAAACGAGGACATCTGAGATGTTCGGGAGTTGAATGCCTCATCCTGGGAGCAGATACGGCGGAGGCGAAGGAATTGGGAATGGGGATGGCATTTTTGCAGGAAGGTGGGTGGAGGAGGTGTATTCAAGGTAGCTGTGGGAGTCAGTAGGCTTGAAATGGATATCAGTTTCCAGGTGGTTGCCAGAGATGGAAACAGAGAGGTCCAGGAAGGAGAGAGAGGTATCAGAGATGGTCCAGGTCAACTTAATGTTGGGGTGGAAGGTGTTGGTGAAGTGGATGAACTGTTCAAGCTCCTTGTGGGAGCACGAGGCAGCGCCAATACAGTCATCGATGTAACGGAGGAAGAGGGATTGTTCCACGTAACCTACAAAGAGGCAGGCACAGGTTGGGCCCATGCGGGTACCCATGGCCAGCCCCTTTGTCTGTAGGAAGTGGGAGGAATTGAAAGAGCAGTTGTTAAGGGTGAGGACGAGTTCAGCTAAGCAGATGAGGGTGTCAGTGGAGGGGGGCTGGTCGGGCCTGCAGGACAGGAAGAAGCGGAGGGCCTTTAGGCCATCTGCACGGGGAATGCAAGTGTATAGGGACTGGACGTCCGTGGCAAAGATGAGGTGTTAGGGACTGGGGAATTGGAAGTTTTGGAGGAGGTGGAGGGCATGGTGGGGAGTTGCTGGACCAAGGGGGAGAAAATGGAGTCGAGATGAGTAGAGATGAGTTCAGTGGGGCAGGCGCAGGTAGAGACAATGGGTCGACCAGGGCAGTCAGGTTTGTGGATTTTGGGAAGGAGATAGAAACTGGCGGTGCGGGGTTGGGGAACGATGAGGCTGGAGGCTGTGGGTGGGAGGTCACCTGAAGTGATGAGGTTGAGGATGGTTTGGGAGATGATGTTTTGGTGGTCGGGGGCGGGGTCATGATCAAGGGGGCGGTAGGAGGAGGTGTCAGAGAGCTGGTGTCTGGTCTCGGCGATGTAGAGGTCAGTGCGCCATACTACAACTGCGCCTCCCTTGTCCGCGGGTTTTATGGTGAGGTTGGGATTGGAGCGGAGGGCTACACGTTCTGTGGGTGAGAAGGGTGGAAAGGTTGAGCAATTGATGTCTCGACTGCAGTTGGAGATGAAGAGGTCGATGGAGGGTAGGAGGCCTTGGGATGGTGTCCAGGAGAAGGGGGTGTGTTGGAGGTGGGAGAAGGAGTCAGTAGAGGGAGGGTTGGTATTCGTTGATGTTACGGTGGAGGGGGATAAAGGTGAGCCCTTTACTGAGGACTGACTGTTCGTCCTCAGTAAGGGGGAGGTCTGGGGGGATGGTGAAGACCCGGCAGGGCTGGGTGCTATTGTCTCCTCTGGAGCTGCTGGCTGTGGAGACGGTGGGCGGAGCGACGTCAGGCGGTGGGCGGAGCGACGTCAGGCGGTGGGCGGAGCAGTATACTGCATCCGCTGCTCCAGTTGTGGCCTCCTATACCTCAGGGAAACCAAGCGGAGGCTTGGGGACCGCTTTGCGGAACACCTACGCTTGGTTCGCAACAAACAACTGCACCTCCCAGTCATGAACCTTTTCAACTCCCCCTCCCACTCCTTAGACGACATGTCCATCCTGGGCCTCCTGCAGCGCCACAACGATGTCACCCGAAGGTTGCAGGAACAGCACCTGATATTTCGCTTGGGAACCCTGCAGCCCAATGGTATCAATGTGGACTTCACAAGCTTCAAAATCTGCCCTCCCCCAACCGCATCCCCAAACCAGCCCAGCTTGTCCCCGCCTCCCTAACCTGTCCTTCCTCCCACCTATCCCCTCCTCCCACCTCAAGCCCCACCCCCATCTCCTACCTACTAGCCTCATCCCAGCCCCTTGACCTGTCTGTCCTCCCTGGACTGACCTATCCCCTCCATAACTCCCCACCTACACTCACCTTTACTGGCTCCACCCCCACCTCTTTGACCTGTCTGTCTCCTCTCCGCCTATCTTCTCCTCTATCCATCTTCTATCTGCCTCCCCTCTCTACCTATTTATTTCGGAATCCCCTTCCCCTTCCCCATTTCTGAAGAAGGGTCTAGGCCCGAAACGTCAGCTTTCCTGCTCCTCTGATGCTGCTTGGCCTGCTGTGTTCATCCAGCTCTCCACCTTGTTATCTCAGACGATAGCCCAGGACAACCTTTACATTTTGAGCTGCACAGCTCAGGCAGTATCGGGCCTACAGATGCACCAGGCATTCAACCTCAATCAAAACCCATTCACACATACTGGAACAATCACAAAACCAATTAACTTCAGAAGTGCACCAAAGCACAATTGAAAATCACCGATTTGGCTCGGAGATAAGGAGCCACAGTCAGTATATGTTGCCAGCCCTGACCTCAATTGGGCAATTATCTGAACAAGGGTTTCCAAACACAGACCTTTTCCAAACCAAGAGCACCAATGGCAAGAACCTGAAAAACTGATCACAACCATCAGAAATAAAGGCTGGCAATCTGAGGCAACAACCAACTCGACTAACAGCACATGTCCTCAGATATAACCTGAGGTGATAACCAGGCTTGCCAAAGCAGCTGAAAGTAAAGAAAACCAGACACATCTCCAGCAGATCCAATACACATCTAACCGCATTAGTGGACTCAACCCAAACTGAAAAAATCTATGCAGTCCGAAGTCTTTGTCTAGGCTCCAGGCTCAGCAAGCTTGAACAGCCAAGCACACTTCAAAACCGCCTTGAGTGGTGAGCATAATCCCTGGATCCCTAAAATTCTGACCTAGCTGGTAGGGAAAGGAAGGCAGGTGGTGCTGGTGCATTGGGATGGGTAGGAATTCTGATTAAAAGTCTGAAATTAAACACTGTTTATTATTGGTAATTTGATTAATAGTGTATTTAAGGTACCACTGTTCTCCTGCATATTAATTATGTTAATTTCCTTGATTTATTGCATGACCTATCATCATGCATTATAATTACCTTTTGTAACTTGCATAAATACAGAGGTGCTTTAACTTTAAAACATCTATCTACTGCCTCTTCATTTTGCATCCAC